TAATTAAATAATGATAGTTTTTGTTAAAAATGACTTTGTTTTTTATCTGAAAGCTGTTTCTTTGAGTTGCTATTTATCAAAATTATGTTTTTCCCACAAATTTTTTTATTTAACTTGCAAAAACTCATTTTTCAAAGTGACATTATTGTCAAAAAATTAAAACCGCCAATGTGATGGGAATTAAAATGAACTTTTTTTTCTACTAAGCTAGAATCTGAATCTCTGAAATGAGAGAAACTCATCGTAGGTGAAATTCTGTTTGTTTACATTATTTCCATTTTATGACTAAAGGGACAAGGCACCAGGTAGAGAAGGTCGGATGATTGACAACTGCCACAAAATGTCGAGTATGCAACTAACAGTACACCAAATCTGAATAGTTCATTCGGTACCCTAGAGCCTTAAAAATGATTTGCAGGTGTAAGATGTACGAAGTTAAACAGGTTAGAGCTGACGCGGTTTGAGAAGAACACATCTCTGTTGATGCGCGAAGGACGAATTTTAGTCGGACCTAGTCCACTTTCAAATTCAGGGTAAACTAACAACTGATAAGTTGTAACAACTGATAAGTTTAGTAGCACCGTTTCATAATGATCGAACTTGATCCGTCATCATTTACGGACACTTTGTATTAGTAGGTATACATGGTTCTTCATCTCAGCCCCGGTCTTCTGTAGCTCAGTTATTATTTAAGTGGGAATTTTGATATTTTGTAGACTTTATTTATATTCTAGGGCGCATTTCAAGAAAATATTTTTGAATATACAGGCTAGTCCAAAAATAAGTAACAATACAAACATGTTTTTTTTTAAATGAAACACCATATTATGTTTCTTGGTATTTTAGAATGTAGCTTTTAATTTCAATGTTTTTAAACTAAACTTCTATTAGTCGATTTTGCTTAGTTTTTAGATTAAATTGATTTTTTTGGCGAAAACATTCTCTTTTTAAAAATTTATTACACAAAAAGTTAAGACAGCTGGAAAAAAATACCACTGTAAAAGAGAAAAATACAAACTTTTAAACTATGTGCTTATGTATACGATCGAGAGGCGCTAGCCTCGAGATCGGATAAAGCACAAAAGGTAATGCCATTACAAACGTGGTAGGACATCAAAATGGCGTTTGATTTTTGACATTTCAGAAATGTCAAAGAAAATATTAAAATAATAATGTGAATCTGATTTAAAATCGTCGAAATGGAGCAGTGTACTCCCCCAGAAGTAAGAGAAACTGCTACAAAAGCAATTGAATACTAATTTAGCAAAATATTATGCGTAACTTGACATTTTAAAAGAAAAAATTCGGGGTATTTTTGTAATTTTAAGATTGGCTATACTGCATATTACCGCCCAAGAGAAGTAATATTATTACTCCTCATGAGATTTAATGATGTGTTTCCCAACCTTTAAAAGGTTAGTCATGGCCAACTTCATCTGTCTTCCGCTGCGCTCCATACGGCCGTAACATAACGAACCAAAAGTCAATTCTCCTAACCTCAAAAATATCGTCGAAATCGTCCGGTAAGTAATGCCATCTACTTGGTTAACTGAAAATCATCTGGACTTCATTAATAAATTCATTCTTTCTAAATAAATTTCTTACTTTTAAGTTAAATAATAATTATTGATGGAAATTGTTCTTTTTTAATAAACGTTAACAAAAATTCAACAATACAATAGAAATATGTATTAATTATAATAATGAAATCAAATAACATGAAAGAACCAATCGGGAAGAATAATTATTGTACCAGATTTCTTCGATGAGGCTACATCATGTTGTTATAATTTAAAAATTTTTCGACTTACGGGTTTGTTCTGAACAACTTTCCTTTTTACATTATCGGTTTTTTCGAGACAAATATTATTTAAAATTGGTTTAGACAAGAGTTCAATTATTAATTTACAAATCTTTTCTTTATGTTCATTGCAGGTAAAAATGACGTTTTGAAGAATATGTGGATATAAAAGATTGACTAATTGTTRGCAAGGATTTTCTGCAAATAAATATGGTAAAACCTGCGAAACAATGTCTGATAATTCTTTTAAAATACCCACAAACTTAAAATTAGGGTATATCAGACCACCACGATCTTGAAGACAAATTAAACGTAATAAAGGTCCTGGAGTTACCGTAGATAATAATGGTGAGAGACATGTATCGYAGTGAAATGTCTCGTCTAATTTTTTTATAATATAACCAGCTACAAAAGCAACAGATGCTGCATATATGCTGTTCTCAGGAATAATAATGTTTTTTAAATGTCTAATTTTTTCTAATATTTCAAAAGGTAATAGCAACTCTGGGTCAATTACATCATAAAATGATAGTTCACTTTCAGGTTGAGATTTTGAAACTTGTGCCGAACTAATATAATCAATACTTTCTAAAGTATTGGATAATTTTGATGCCTTTACAATGCCACAGCGTAAAAATTTTCTTAGAGCATATTCGGCTGTTCTCGCGTCAGTTGCGTCGTTTGAACCTCCCCCGAGCCTAACATGAGAAAACATAGCTTCAACAGCATCTGAACTGAATGATCGCGTTAAAACATAATAAAACCCACTTTGTTGCAAAAGAAATTTAACACAAAGATATGTACTTCTAGCTGTAAATATTAAAGCATGGGCAGTTTCATCCGTTAGACCTTGGACACCGACTGACTGAGAGGAATTTTGAATATCTTCAATATAATTTGGAAATGTAACGTTTAACCAGTGTAAAYGATSGTCTKAAATATTAATATATGGTGCAATCGTACTGTCCAATGATTTGATGTAATGATTTCTGCTGCTAACATTGTGGACCTGAAAAAAATTATACATGGTTTCAATATATTTAACTGTGGCGTCTACTCCTTGAAATTTGGAATGTTTGTTTTCTTGCAAAAATTTTAAAGATGAACTAACAGCYGGTGAAAATACTTGAATTGCTCTCAAAACATTYATTTTTTCAAAATTTGTTGGGTATAAATGTTTTCTTGTCAAAAATTTTACAGGTTTCACAGGTAAACCTTTTTGAAAASCGTATAATTTTTTTAAAWATTCTGACGAAATAACACCGTCACTGGAATGCATTTCTCGGTCCAAAAATAAGTTTCGTGCATTCTTTAAAGCATGACAGAAATCAAAACTTAAAAACAGGGGCATGGGTGCCAAGAAGGRATRAATAATCGAATTTTTAAGTTCTCCATTACAAAGATTTTTAAAGAGTTTAACATTTGCCGAAAAATTGTCTGTTACAATTCTGAGAACAATAAATCCACAAGAAGTAAGGAGTTCTAAAATTTCTAAAGTTATTTTGTAAAATTGTTCAGATTTTAGAGATGAATGWAAAAAGTAGCCTGCTGGTATTGTGAATTTGGTACTCAAACCATGAATCACGTAACACAGCATTTGATTTGCAATATCTGGTTTTTTTCCTACCGTGTTGGGTTCGCAATTACTTAGGCCGTAAATATAGTCTTCCGATCGGCTATAAAACATTTTTTCTTTAATAGACATATCATCGATGATTAATGAGCAAATTCTTTCTACTGGATTTTTTAGTTTCGAAATTTCGGCAGTTAATCTTCTCTTTATCAAATTACSCGAACCGTTGAAATGTCCTAAATAYCGGGAAATGGTCATTTTTGACGGGAGCTTCGCTAGATGATTTCTGCAGAACTCGTATCCTTTAGGAGAACAAAATCGCCAAATGGTACACAACCGAACTGATGTTTCTGTCCAACGAGGAGCTTTTTTGCAATAATTTTTTATTATATCCATAAGAAATATGGCTTTTCCGTCATTTTCTTCTACACCTTTGGACACTTTTCGAAACAAGCTTAAATTTTCTAAATTTTCTTCATTTGTTGACTCCAACTCTTTAATTTTGTTCAAACATTGGTTGTATTTATTGGTCATATTTCTTAATTTGTTATTCAAAACCTTGCAATGATACTTTAAATTTTGTACTTCTTTT